ACCCTAATAGTTTGACAGTTTTACCAGAGCGCGCCGTCCCTTTCCAATCGCTCGCATACCAATGGCAGCTTTTCTATTTATTTCGAAAACTGCTCCCTTCTTTCGGGATGACGGGAAGCTAGGCTGGCTCAGTTTTGATCGAATACAATCTCCTTGCGTGCAAAGAAATTCAAACTGACTGCCTAGACCGTGACGCCTGCGCTCCACTATTGAGATATTGCCTACTTTGCAAAATTGACAAATCTCTTTTTCTAGGGCGCCACTCAACAGTGACATGTCAACGAGTCGAATCTCGCCGTCTTCAAACGATCAGCCGTGACACTCACTTTCACTTTCTTCTACGTCGGAAGGTAACAATATTTTCCTGCAAGATACAGACATCTCTCGAATGTTTTGAACAGGAGTATCACCCACTATATCGAAGTCTGAATCATCTGACTCTCAGTGTCACGGTAAAACTTTCTTCTCCCACTTCATGGCTGACACTGGTTTCGACGGGGAAATCCGTTCTGTACGAACCCAGCATAGTCTCTTTCAACATCTTTTTTGACAGGAGTGATCATTCTTTTGACGTTTTTCTTTTTTCTTCCTCGCTTTCTTTTTCTTGGAAATTTTCGCGTGCTTACTATCTCGTCCATAATTAGTGAATGACAACTAAACTAAACCCTCTCCTCCTTCTTTGCATATTTTGCACATTAATGAAGGAAGCTGCCCTGTTTTTTAATTGGTGTGAATAGAATAATTGTAAAATGTGACCCAGTGATGTATGCCGGCATGTAGCATTTCCTGTGCTATTTAAAATCAAATCCCGCAAAACAGAGTTTTACCGTCGCAGTAACCTCGGGTCTTATACTTGTAGATGAATCTCTTCAAAATTTAATTGTAACCGGACTCACTGTTATCATCTATAAAAACTACCTAGATTTTAGATGATACTTTTATTTTTTACCTAAGTCGTACGAAAAAGTCAGCACTTGCCTTGCGTGAAACACTGGCCCACTATCCGATGTCAAGATGTCGGCCCGGGGGGGGGGGGGGGACGCTTCTATTTTGTTGCCGTGCATTTTGTTCGCATGAGCACATTAGATAAAACAACCAAGTATTTATCAGACAGATTTATTACATGTAACATAATTTACGAATTTAGAAAAACCTAAGCATGCAAGTATGCCTACTTTTTAGCTCCGCTGTCGACTTTGTCGA